TATAGTTAAAAAATCACATCTCGGAAATAAGAAGTGTGGTTCCGGTTTTACTATTCGTTAGTGACGTAGTGCGAGTATTGGTCTACTTTAATGACATTGTTACATAATTTAGCTAATAAAAAAAAATATCACCTCTTTACTTGACTACTGACGACATATTTATTATTTATTTGGTACATTATCAGGTCTGGACGATTTCCAAATATGGAAGTCAAGAACGATAACTGAAAGTTGCCATAAATATACATCATATACACGTAAATATTTTTTTGCCCAATCAGAACACAGCATTTTTACACATCCCAAAACATATTTCAAAGGGGTTAAAGTTAAAACTGAATATGTATCCAATAATCCACCATCTGCGCTCACCCAACAGTGATACTGTTAACATACAGGGGTTTTTCTAGGTCTTTAAATCAAGAGCCTGGGCTTTTCTATTTGGAAAAAATAGCAAAATTTGGTTGTAATTAGCAGCAGGGACCTATATACTGTTAGTAAATAGGTCCCTGTTAGGCCAAATAAAAAATTATGTGTGGTTCCGGTAACCCGACCATCCCTATTTTATACCCCCAACCCTAAACTTTTTTTTGGCAATTTTCAAATTTTTACCAGAATTTTCCCCAATTTCCATCAATGGCTCCGGTTTAAGTTTTAGTTTCAGCAATGACGGCCCCCTTGCACAACATAGTGCAAGTGTTTATTAGTGTTAAATCCAAAGCAAGCTAGCAAGTAGGTGTCCCCTACCAATATTGACTAGTATATTATCACACCACATCTAAATGTCATTTGCAAAGTAGTGATAAGTATTATTTACAATAGAACAATTAAGAAAATCATTTTGTTTAAAAAAAAAAAAAAAAAAAAAAAAATCCCTACCTACCTACCCTAATTTTTTTGGAGGTGTAACCGGAACCACACATATTTTTTTGTTTGGCCTTAGCAGATTAGAGAAAATATCATATCTAACATTTTTTTCTAAATGAATTCGAGTTTTTCTTCATTTGCAAGGTATTCATTGACTTATTTTATATTCATTTAATCAGTTTATGGAGCAATATGCCTTTTAAATTTTTTTTAGCATCATTCCTGTTACATGTATACATGTTCAGGGCTTGACAAATAGCATTGCCCGATGCCCGGGACAACCAATTTTGTTTGGCGGGCAAGTTATTTGATAACTGGTACCTGCCCATGGACAAGTGTTTTTCCAGTAAACAAAAAATCATATACTCAAATGTTGTTTTGTTTTACCACTGTTAAAATATAATGAATCACAGCAGAACATCTGTTTTCGATGCAGTTGACCGCTACATCGAACACTCAGTAGGAACTCTTCTAGAATTGCCCATTCATGTTTTGATAAAATATGCATGAGAAGTAGCACACGGCAGGTATCAATGTCATGTCAAAAAAGTTGAAGAGGGTTTTGGACCTTTCTTTTGTCACAATGTAGAATTCATGCCGTGAATACACGATACAAACAAATGTGGCTGTTATTAAATTGGAGGTGTTGACTGGCGAACACACACAGTCATGAAGTTGAACCCTTAATTGACATTCAGGAGTGTTTTTCATAACACAATAATGTAGATACATGTGTATTATTTTCATTTAAAAAGTACAGAGAAATATATAAGTATATGTTTATGTATATACATTGACATGTACATGTATTTAAAATTTTAAGTTTAATAATCATTGCACAGCGCAGACGCGAGGAAGTCTCCCTAGAATTAGAAATTTCCCCTTAATTTCCCCATGGGAGATTTGTGATTTTGGGTCAAGGTTGGTCCTAAATGTTAATGATAATATTTTATTTTTGTGTTATTTAAGGAAAAGGTGGGACAAGCATATTTTTTGGTACGACAAGTAATTTTACTATGGTAACCTGTCCAAGGGCAAGTACTGACAAATTCTATTTGTCTACCCCTGATGTTACCGAGTTCGACGGACATTATTTTAACCATACTTGTTTGTTTCGATTGTCTTGTGTGAGTTTTTACGTCCACTGTTCTTGGCAACTTAGCCCATCTTCCCGTTTCTGACCACTCCATATTGACTTCGGTACAAATTATGACAGCAATGAATTCCTAGTAACTGTAACTTACCCAAATCTTTGCATTTAGGCGCCATATTGAGAACATTAAGAATTTCGAACCCGATCTAAATTCAACGGATTTTTCTAAAATCCATATCTTCTAAGTAATTTTTAATAAAATTTTAAACTCCTTCAAATTTTCATTAATCATATAAATCACATTTTCCCCATTATTTTGAGTACAACTGGAAGTACATGTTTCTCATTTATTCCTTGTAAATAAAATTTCACATCAAATATTTATCTTTCAAATTGTTTAACTTTGTGTTGCTGGAATTCAGTTGAACCTGACTATCCTAAGAGCAGACTATTATCCCCTCTTAGGGTAGCAGTACAGTAGAATAGAGGGCCATAGGAACAGAGAAGTGGTAATGGTGGGGAATGTTGGACGCAAGCGCCCCCCCCCCCCCCTTTGAAGAAACACTCAAAAATATCATTTTTGAAACAGAGTAAATCATAATTCATTTGTTTAAAGTAACACTGCCAGATTTTCTTTATTTTATATGTGAAAAATGACTTCAAGGATGCACCAGAACCCACCAAAATGTATATTCATTTATTAATGATTTTAATTTAAGAATTGCACAGGATTGAGTCCTGGAAAAATCTTGTGGGTGGCATATGCCCCCCCCCCCTCCCAAAAGGTATAAGTAACACAGACACTTGATTCGATAAAAAAAAAATAACCCATAGTATAATAATATTACGTTATTACTATACTATGGGTTAGAAAAATTATTACTGAAACAAGTGCCTGTGATAAGTAAGTACATGTAGTAAGTAAAAATACTAATAAAAGTACTTCATAACATACTAATTGGTACAGTGTGCCCCAAAGAGGCATATAAGTAAGAAGTAAGTACAAGTAAACCCAATTTTATTTATACACCAATTAGCAGAGTTATCATACATGTAAGTACATGTATCATACAACAAATTATATGTATGTATACTTATCTTGAAGCTTTTTTGACATTTAAATCTTCTATTTAGAATTTTATTGATTTTTTTTTTTAAATTGGCCAGTTGTGGTACACTACCCCCATTTTATATCCTTTTTCTTTTGCTAATAAATACATTTTATCATTTCAGATAAAGACTTCAAAATTATCTTTGGTAGACCCAGGATTTTTTCAAAGGGGGTTCAACAGGCTAATAATGGGGTCTGAGCCAGTGAGGGCGACCTTGTGGCCCCAGTGGGTAAAGGACAAAAGCCCCTTTAAGCTTCCAGGATTTGCGTCCTTTTTAAATCAGTTTTGTGAGTTGTGTTATGTATATTCTATGTATAATAAAAGCAATTTCTAACAAAAAAAAATAATGATTATTTCACCTTTACTTAATTTTGGCACACATGAGGGGGAAGAGGGAAATAGAAACTGTTTTAAGAACAATTTTTTACGGTAATAGAAATTTCATATTCATCCAGGATTTTGGTTTCAAAATACGAATAATAGATTTACCTCCTAAAATTATGCTTCTGGGGAACATTACAAATTTTATTTTAATGCTTTTTAGGCAGTGAATTATACACTTAAAGACCTTGAAGACTCAGATTCATATTTGAGTTGTTATTTATATAATTATGATATATGCTGATAAAACAGATTATGACATAATATTAAAAAATCATTTATACCTAAAAATTATCAAATGTAGTACCTTAGAAAATTACATGTATTAATAGCCAAATTATTGTTACAACAAAATAACATATCTTAACTTATAATATCTAAAATTATAGACAGAAACTGTTTACATCATTGAAAACTGCAGAATAGAGTAAAAACCTCTGCAATACCTTAAATTCTTGAACATGTAATTGTAGAAGTAGTCTTTGACAATATATGACATTGTAAGTCTTGTTCAAATCTTAAACCAAATTTTACTCATTGTTCAAAAATTAAAGAGTGTCATAAAAGGAAGGCTTGTGTTGCATTAATTTTTGTAGAATCGTTTGTTATTGTATCTCAAAACACAAGTCCCAGATTCTCGTACACAAGAACCCCCCCCCCCCCCCCCGCGCTTACTATCAGTTTCTTTAAATAATGCGTCAATCATATCCATGTTTCGAACGTCAAACCATGAGCATCCACAAACTTAATAATTAATTAAAATAAATATTTGATGATTTTTAAAAAGATGTATCATTATGAATGAAAAGAATTTAAAAATGTGTCTTCAGAATTTCCTCGACGTTCGCAGTTAGTCAATATTGACGCTATGCAAGCGCGTCGTATAAAAAAGGGGAAAATAATATGCAAAAGACGTATAAAACATAAAAAAAAACAGCTGCAAATGATAGTAAGTAACAGATTTATACTTACGAAAAAGGATCCAAAGCACTTCGAGGCGTCTGCCATCGTCTTCTTTTCTGGTTCTCCAGGTCGACTGGAAACCAGGCAACTTATTGCCAGACAAACATGAGTCATTTGTAGACCACGAATTTTCGAAATTTTAAATACTGAACTCACGAATGAATGAAAGGTAAGAAAATATAGGAAATGATTAAACTAAATGGGATATTAATTAAAACTATTCATATATAGCGGACTTTGTTTAATATTACACATTTTCTCTGGGCGACTTAATAGATATATATATTCCTATGAAAATATATGCCGGGTTATAAATAATTTAATTATTTCTCGCTATGCGAATAAAAAATGCAGAAATTATAATTGCATTGAAAAAAATAATTACGAAAGAGTCTTATTTCAGGACATCAGTCATCTTACCTCAAAGCACACTGCCTTAATGATCAGTTAAAATATTAGGGAGACCGGAAAAAGTCTGCTTAATCCATCGGGGTCCCAGACCGATATATAAATGCTTAACTGGGTTCCCTAACCAAGAAGTCCGGATTATATATATATATATATATATATATATTGTTGAACAGATTCGTATACCAAAGTCTACGGAACAAATTGACCAACAAGTATCGTTAGAACTCTCTAGACTCAGGAGATCAGTGAACCCTCAGATAGCTCCAATAATTGAACAGGTATTTGTAGTCCAAAGTTAAGTTTACTTTTAATTAATTATAGAGTGAACAATTACTTATACAATGTCTTTGGTTAATGCTGGTCTATGAATATGTATAAAAACAAGATGTCAATGGAACTGGGCGAGATATTTAAAAACGGCCCAAAGAGACGAAAGGGTTACATTATCGATAACATGTAATGCATAATAGTATACACAAAAAGGAAAAAAAAATGTTGTTCCAGATAAAAAAAAATGGGGGGAAAATGGGAATAGAGGAGGGGGCTCCACACCCCACGTGCCTGTGTTTGTTAGTTAAATATAATAATGTTTAATAAAAAAGGGCTATTAACGCGGATACATTATATTGGACCAACAATGTAGCTGCAGAACTGTAGCGTTGTGGTTTTATATTTTAGTCTTTGACCATAACGCTACAGATCCCATAATGTAAATGTGGTGCAATTTTCGGCGCAAGATTTTCAGCGCACTTTGGGAATGTATTTAGCCACTGTCCAGCATTGGTCAATCAACTACCTTTCATTTCCTAATTCTAGACATATTCTTTAACCAACTTGTATATTTTTTCCATCTCCGAAACCTTTCTAGACCGATAAACTCGCTTACTGTGAAATTTACAACAAACGAGTTTATCGGTCTGTATAGACTACTAGAAAGGGTTAAGAGGTGGAAAAAATATACAGGTTGGTTCTAGAATATGTCTAGAATTAGGGGATGAAAGGTAGTTGATTGACCAATGCTGAAAAGTGGCGAAATACATTCCCAAAGTGCGCAGAAAATCTTGCGCCGAAAATTGCACTTTATCTACATTACGGAATTGTGGTTTGTTTCTATCAGGATGTAAGATTTTCAAAGATACAATGGATTTTTGGATTCTTTTCAAATATGACCAAATTAATCCATCTCTAGGACCTGAACCCTTAGGGAGCCTCAATTTAAAAAAAACATGTATTAGAGATTAATCAGGGATAAAGTTGTTTTTTTTTTGTTTTAAATATCCAGACAGAAATACAAAAAACTCTTTCTGGTTTTCTATAGATACATATGTATATATAGATATTTTTCTGTCTGTTAACTGCATATCTTAATATTAGTACATGTACATGTATATTGTTTCAGATGTTTTTCTTAACGGAAAAACCTCATCTGAAGGCTCATTTAAAGGCAGTCGAAGTTCATCCTTTCATCAAACTTTGTCTTAAGTGTGCGTGGATTTCCACCATCCAGGACAGACCATTATCAGTGACTTTCAAAATGAAGCCAGGTTCGCCATTTTATCCGGACGTTATGATTTCTCGCAATGCTCCAGCCCCAAATGTGGATTATTTAGTGTGGCCCATTGTGTTCTTGTACGACAAAGGTCCTCTCTTATTGAAAGGGATCGTCCATTGCTCTCTTATTGAAAGGGATCGTCCATTGCTCTCAATTAAGATGAAATAAAGTTTAATTGAAATTCTCTGTTTTATCTGTTTTTGGCGTACATGTATATAGTGTATATTCCGACCATTCTTGCTCGATAAGATGGAGAAACTAGCGCCCAGAGGCAGTTCTTTCTGTTTGTATAGTATAAACAACATAACAACGATTTAGCAATCATACCCAGCGGAAGGTTATTATTACGGCCACCTAAGGTGCAATGAGAACAAGAAGTAAACATTTCTTCAATTGACTAAAGTACTCTATAATTTGATCAAATTTCATGCCCTTAAGATAAAGAAACAATAAATATGCATAACTGCATGTTTTGTGTAAATGATTTACACTTTTGCAGAAAATGCTTTTGATATGCTCTGTACTGACTGTAGAACAGCGCAGCTACACACATCAGCAGAGCCTTAAAAAATAAAAAAAAAATATATGCGAAGTGTGCATTAATGTTCTCTCTACAACCATTTGTTGAGAAAATGTCTAAATTTTGCACTGTTAAATGGTAATTTCCAGTTCCAAACAAGGCACTGTTGTCTTTAGAATGAGTGTAAAGAACCATGAAAGTAGTTCCTAAACAGCAGCTTGTAATCTATTTTTAGCACAGAATTTTTCCAGACCACTCCTTTTTATATGGAGGCACATAATGGTCTGAAATGAAGAAACTTAAAACGACAGGCAAAGTGATAATACAACTGTATATTAAATTTATTTTTAAAAGTATATAAACACAATAAAAAGGAGAGTTGAGTGTAATATGTGAACTAAAGTAAAAAAAAATATATATTACATGTATTTAACAGCTGTTTAATAGTGTGTTGTTATAACAAATTCTTCGAGTCTTTGCTTCCAGGCAATGAAAATTGTGCAACATCAAAATTAATTTTTTTGAATGAATGAATTATAAACAAATGTGGTATTTCAAGTATTGATAAGTCTGACACACGTAACTTATTTTAACGACCAGATTTGTTATTATCAACGATGAATCGCAATGAAAGTTAAACATCATAAAATCAATGTGAATTGAATGAGCTTGTTTTAGTACCTATATTTTGTCAAACCATTTTACATTTTCAAATTCCATTACATCCTAGCTCCATTTCAATAGGTACAAAATCCTTAAGGGTAAGTGTAATTAAGGGGGATTTACTGAATAAAAAACATTTTTGACTTTATTTTGTCCATGTTTTCCAAATTACGATTTCACCAAGTAGAGAAAAAAATCAACGTAATTATATGCTTGAACAATACAAGGATAGTGAATATTCAATCATATACTTAGTAATGCTAGAATTTTAAAACTTTGACTATAATTTGAAAAACAAACCCAAGATTGTCATGTACAATATTGCAAAACAAAGAGTTAATGAAACATTTTGCAGATAAAATCAAGACAAATATGCGATCTACTCTCCAGTAATGAATTGTATCATCTCCCATCCTCTAAATTTCGATATCTTTTAAAATTGAGACTGACATAATATTTTTTTTATAATATTAATGGACACCTATGGTTCACAATGCTTACCTTAGTCAAATTGCTTTCTCTGAGTCTCTCAGCCCCCTGTCTCTCACACCAAGTAAATTACACCCCCCCCACCCCCCTCTGTTGCCCTAAACCAGGTTTAGAGTGTTACATTATGTATGTATTGATGACTGCACAATTAAACATAAATTTGTCAAATTAGCGTTCCCCTTTTCTAGGTAGTCTATAAATTTCTATTTAAATTGTAAACCCCATATTGTGTTCTAAACATGACCCCCCTTCCAAATCAACCTACATTGTACAATACACATGAGGACACACTCTGTAAATCTAAATGCATTTAGATGTGGACATCTTTGCAGTGCTACACTGGTAAATGTTTTCCCCTTAATTCTTATCAATAAAATCTCAATATATTGTCTAAGAAAAATTTGGGGATATTATTTTTGACTGTTCTGAAAAACACCTATTAGGCTATTACCTATTGTGATAAATCTTATTTATCTAATTATCTCAGCAAATTGACAGGTGCTCATTTGAAAAAAAAAATATTGTGTTACTCACAGAAAGCTGTGATTTTAGACATTAGTTTTACATATATGTATTTTTAAATTTTAAAGTCTTTTTTTTTTTGTAATGACAGTGAAATAAGAACAACAAGATAAATTTTAAAATACTCAGTCCTTGAAAAACTATGCATTAAAAGATTCACAAAATTGACCCCTATACAAATGTACATTGCCCATTGCTTAAAAATATTGTATCATATCATGTGTAATGTGTAGCAGACAGATAAATGGAATGAATTCTTTTTTAAATAAGAAATCTATTGCAGAGTAATATAACACTGAGTGGAGTTCCCTTATTTTACATTATAAGATTGACATTCTGTCACCAATATTATCTCAAAATCCCTTATGTAAGACATCCCAATGAATAGCGAAGTATAACTGACAAAACTTATGTTTCAAAGATACCACTATTGGGTTCTGATTTAGCCTCACTGGCAAGAGTCTGGGTTTACCATGGATTTTTAGGTAAGAATTTCAATGCAAATTTCATGAGATTTTCCTCAAAGACGTACAAAAATAAAATGAGTTTAAAAAATCATTCAGAATATTCAACAGTTATAAGAAAATTGTTAAAACAGTAACAAATTACGAAACAATATTTATCATTCTTTTCCCTGTTGCCAAAGATGACAAGTCTTACCCTCTGAGTCTCTGCAAACATTGCCCTCTCTTCCAAATTTCAAAGAAACGAATCAAGATATTTTATCAAACTTCATGTGCCGATACATACAGGGGAGAGATTTCAACTTTTATCAACATTTTTTTTACCTTGACCTTTCCTTTGACTCGTCCCCACTTTTCTAACATTTGAATTTAGCATGATTAAATAATTTTCACCTTCCATTCAAAATGACTCGTGCAGAAATCAGTGTTATACCATGGGCAATTAAATGGAAAAGCAGAACCATGCAACAAATGCCTTCATTGGCTGAAACAAGCAGAAGAGTTCTATTTGCAAATAACCTTAGTATTTATTATCTCTCCCTTTAAACGACATAAGCACAACGATCATTGGAATAAAGCTAATATTAATGCAAGGACTAAGTGACGAGATACTGTTCAAAGACTACAAAAAATACCTTATATTAAACCCTTCACAACAGAAGAGATAAGTCACTTTATTCTTCGTGAAAAAAAATAATCAATTCTGAGATTTTCTGTTAATGCAATTTAATTTTTACAAATATAGTACATTGTCAGTAAAGGTAAACGAAATGATGTTTTAAAAATACATTTTACTTTACACTTAATCAAAATGTTATTTTGAAAAATAAATGAGATCTTTAAACTACTCAAAAATAAAAGGGAAGTTTACATCTATTGTGAAATGTGGAAATGTATTGAATCTCTCTCTCTCCATTTTCTAAATTTTTGCTTTGTACCAAACAAATAAAAGTATATATGTGCACAAACTAAATTATTTTTTCCTAGAATGAACATGACAAATCTCAAATGATCTCCTTTTGAATGAAGACGGGTCGGGTGGACGGCCGACCGATTCGCCACTGACCATGGGGCACATCCCACGCATCCTGGTCCGGTGCACACTCGCGGTTAGCGGCCACTGCCCAGAGAGCAGTAGCCACAGGTCGAAACGTGCACGCAAGGACAGGAGCGAGAGGAGCCGAAGATTAGGAATAATGCCGTGCAGTTGAGTCTTGACATCTCAAGCTTTTTACTTGGATTTGGTTTGTGTCTAATGTAATTAAATATCTGGATTTAAATTTATTTGCGCATGAATGATGTAAAGAAGTGAACTTGATTTTTTCTGCATTGAGCATGTGGAATTTTTCTTTTACACCCTTGCAATTTCTATATTTTAATTCCTACAAAAACGCATTGTCAAACATTGTAAAGAATAAGTTTTCTTTAATCTATTTTGATCCTAGAAAAATTGCGATTTATACAGATAATACATTAGTGTGAAGAAAGGAAAATATCTCAAGATTAAAATAACTGAGGTTTACGTAAAAATAATCTAAAAAATATGTGAAACTTAAAATAGGTAGGACTTATTTGATGAAGCCCATTTAATGAACAGGTTATATTTGCAGTACTATGCATGTACATGTACACGTATGTATATGCAGAAACATATACGTGCCTTCATTGCCTGAAACAATCAGATGAGTTCTGCTTGTAAATAAACCTTAGCTAGTATTTACTATCCCACTAACACCCTCTAGAAATCTCGAATTTATACCTATCTCTCAAATGCTTAGCTTTATTCTTGTGAAATTTGCATAAGATAACTCTAGATGTACTCAAATGACCTCCCTTTGAATGACGTAAGTACAACGATAATTGGAATAAAGTAATATTAATGCAAAGGCTCAGTGACGAGATGACGAGAACAAATACTGTTTAAAGACTACCAAAAATATCTTATAATCCCTTCATAACAGCAGAGATAAGGTACTTTATTCTTCGTGAAAAATTAATCAATTCTGACATTTTCTGTTAATGCATTTTAATAATTTTTACAATCAAAACATCACCAACGGCCTGGCCAGGAAAAAACATGATGGGGGAGATAATTGCTTGGGCCGCCGAAAACCTTAGAAAAAGCAGGAAAAAAAGATCAACAGAGAAACGGTAATTAATAAGTTAAAATGAATGAACAAACTGAACTTTTCTGTATATGTCAGTTTTAAAGTTTTTGTCGTTATATAAATGCTCGCGGGCTTAATGACTATTCTAAGAGGCAAACTTGATTGGCTTAATGATATTAATTGCAAAATTGTTTTTCTACAAGAAACTCATTATGTAACTGACAAAGAAAATATTTACAATGCTAGATGGCATGGTTCAAGCTACCATTGTTTTTCTAATTCATCTCATAGTAGAGGGGTATCTTTTTTATTTCATGAAAGTTTACCTATCACTGTACATAATGTACACAAATCAGACGATGGAAGTAGAATATTAATTAATATTGAGTATGAAAAAAATGT